CAGCTGATATTATAACTATAATTTAGTGAATGAAAAAATCCCAATTGTGCTACTTCTATTCCTCTTCTCTCTAATCACATTTCCTGAAGGCCATAAAGCCTAAAAAGCAATTATAAAAAATCTTGAGAGTAAAATACAAATAATTTGTCCTTTAGATTATGTTTTGAATCTGAATTATGCTGCAGATTCTTTACATGATAACTATAATTCTCTGTAGCATAGCATCAAACATTTCATATAAAATTCTGTAATTCAATTTAAAAAGAAGAGTATGATGCTGCCAAGGCTGTTTAATAAAAAATTTGCAAATATAGAATAAACAAAGACATTTCAGGCAATGCAGATACTGGTGTCACTAGTTTCTTTTTCTTTTCAAACTGCAGGAGAAAAGTATAAACCATTTTTATTATAATGATCATTCTAAAGCCTTAGAGACAGTGGATGGATCAGAATCACCTAAAAATCCTCCACATTAGGTGGTAACTTGAGCATTGGAGGGTTTTAGGATTTCATCAGGTTGACTTTGACAAAAGTATTCCAGTCAGTTGAATTTACTGCATGCAGACATTAATCTTGCGTTGTAACTGTTTATCCTCCAAAACAAATAAAACTAGATTGAACCATAAATCCAAAATACTCAACTTCTATCACATGCATCATGAAGCAATGAGCCATTAAAGAGGCATAAGACTACGGCTGTTTTTCATTGCGTTTTCAAATCCAAAAAGACAATTTTGGAAATAAAAATATTGTCGCTATAAGTCTGTGTAGGGTCTACATAAAGATGACATGAGGTTGTTGGGAAAATCAAATCAATCAGTGATGTTGAGCATTTGTTTCAGATTATCTTTTTACAGCCTAATGGTAAACAGAACCAGATGCAGTGATGCGGATGGTTTATGGGAGCATTGTTAAATGCTCACAGAATCTCTGTGGGAACTCCTTGATGTTTCCATCTGAGGGCCTGACAGAGCTTAGTGAAGGGAACAAATTCAAGAATTAGGGTGGTTCTCCCATCAGCGGGACAGGAAAAAGAGAGCTTTTCAGATGGAGTGACGAGCCTCTTCATCAGACTCGATGTGGTGATGATTCGTCCGTCTTACTCATGTTTCTCCTCCTAATACATTCAAATTGTAATCAGTAAAGTCTTTCAGCTCATGGGATGCCAGACACCCACAGAGTGTGCTGCGCTCCCACATAAAGAGAAGATCTTGAAGATGAGTCTATTTTTGGTTGCCATTATCTCCAGGGTTCAGTCTGAATGAGGCAGAGGAGGGCTACATGGGACTTTTTCTGCAGATGCGTCTGCAGATATTATCAACAATACAGCGCCTGTCTGCCTGTCTCTGTCAAACACAAAGTCCCAAACGCTACGATAAAAAGAGCTTCTGTGAAATTTGTTGCACCCTCTTCTCATTCAAGTAGTAATATAACCATATATGAAATTACAATCAACTTCACAGTGAAATCACTTTTATTTCTTTCGAGTCTCAATTTGTGAATTTAAAATAATAAAAGAATATTGATTGTATTCAAGGGGTTGTTGCTGCATTTCTAAAGTAATTTTATATGTTTTTTCTTACTTGCATTTCCTTTTCTGGAATTTTTGCTGCCAGTACATTATTATTTTTTTTTTTTCATTGTTCCTCTAACAAAATGTTATCACATTTTTTACAGTGTTTTGAAAATAATTTGGTGAATGACATTTTTTTTTTTCACTATGTAATTATCATTCCGGAATTTCAACTGCTTGAAAAGTGTGTAATTTGTTTTAAAGTAAATTTCTTACCAAAGTGTGTTTTGTTTTACTTTTTATTGTTGTTTTTTTTATATAATTGGAGCAAAATTATTTTTGATAGTTGATTTGAGTTGATAAAAGCTTTTTGCTGCCTATGGAACAAATCAGTATTTCTTTTGTTGTTTTTGTAATTGTTATTTACAGTTGCTTTGAGTAGTTTAGATTTAATCCTTCATTCTTTTTTAGTAATACTTTTTCCAACAAAATAATTGTGGCTACTATACACATGTTCATCTCTGTATCCCAGCTTTTCAGTGTTTACAACTTTTCAGCAATTTTTCACAGTAATTGTGTTTTTGTTTTTATGTTATTCAGGCTTTTTGATCTAATCATTAAGAGTCCGTCAATGGGAGGAAAGCTTAAATGTGGTGAATTAAAACAACGGTAACTGAAACTGAGCTTTTACTTTCTTTGTACCTCTTTAATGTCTTCAATTGTAGTTTTGTGCCATCAATCTTTCAGTAATGGTTTTAAAATGCACAGTAACACTCTTTTGTTTTATACTTTTAATTTCCTTGTTTTTTGTTTGAATATTGTCACCCTTCGTAGTTCTAAAAATGATTCTTTATAAATGGCACATTATAAAATGGGATTTATATAAAAAAAAATCTATTTAAAGCCACTTTGTATTTTAAAGGTATCTAACTGTGTAAGGCTGCACTTGTTACTAGATTTGGCTGCTCTGAATCCTTTAGAAAATTCCCACTGTTCATTCTCTGCTGTCTTATTTATCTGAATGTCAGTTACCACAAAATTTCCTCGTGTGTGTTTTTTATACAGTGTTAAAAGCTGAATTACTTTCATTCATCTCTTGTTTGGGGTTGTGCAGATCCAAACCGCACTGGCAGGGGAAGAGAAATGTTTCACTGCAGCCAAACAAGACAGACAGACAGACAGACAGACAGATTTTCTATTCACTTCAGTTTCAGTGTTGAGTGACTCTAAAAAGGTAAGAATCGGAAGCATTAGGCGTTTTCACTTGAATAGAAAGTGTAAATGCACTTCCTGTTTTTCAATAATCCATTGTCAAAGTCTTTTATGACTATATTTTTCATGTTTAAAGGAGGCTTAAGAAGTATTACTCAAGAAGACAAAAACAATGAATTAGCAAATGCGTAATAAAACCTTCAATGAAGAAAAAGTAGGTTTTGCCAACAGGAAAAGGCAACAGGACTCCCTTTGATTATTAAATCTAGGCTTACGTTGATTAATAACATAATACTCCGTGAAAACTATTAAGAAATGTTAAATGATTTATTAGTATGGGCTGATTCACCATTAAAATGATATAAATGTTGAGGGTACTGAAACTGAAAATGAACAAGAAGCTGTTAATAAAAGACAATAAAACCATGTGAGAACTTGACAGGTAGGAATCCATACGATGTAGATTAGGCAGACTGCTACGTAGACGCAGTAGGGATGGGCAGGGCCCAGCGAAAGCGCCTGAAAGAAAAACATGTATAAACAAGACGTTTTAGGATTGTGAGCAAACAAATCTGAGCTTTGATGCTGCTGAGTAACAGGTAAGCCAGCGTGGATTTAGGGTGTCAGGGCAAGGATTTCCAGCCTTTTATTCAACAGCTCTCCTTTTTTTTTTCAGTCAGTGTTTTGAATATAAAAATTAAAACAGAGCATTTTTTGTGGACACACAAGTGTTGAGTTGTGGTTGGATCCGGTCTCCTAGCTCAGAAACACAAATAAGTTTAATTCTTAAAAGCCTAAGTAACTTGTGTAATTCACATTTGCAGGAGATAAGTAAGCAACAGAGGCGGTACTACGGGGAGAACAAGGAGGGCAGTGGCCCCCTGCAAAACTTAGGGGGAGTGGCGGCCTAGGGTTTAGAGCATAGGGCTTTGAATCCTGATGTTGTGAGTTTGATTCCCCACTCCCACAGACTGCCACTCTGGCTCCTGAGCAAGACCCTTAACCCCACACTGCTCCCCGGGTGCCGCACAATGGCAGCCCACTGCTCCACAAGGGGATGGGTTAAATGCAGAGAAGTTATTTTCCCTCTGGGATTATTAAAGTATATATATATATATATATAAAAAAAATTAAAATCTGCTGCTCGGTATTGAGTGTATACAGTTTTTGCATGATGGCACCTTTAGGGCAAGGGGGGGGGGGGATTTACCATTAGGCAATAGGCAGTTGCCTAGGGCCCCAAGTTCCTGGGGGCTCCATAAAACTGTTTAGATGTATGGTTAATACAACTGTTCCTTATCTGTACACATTATGTTTTTGATTAATTTGATCCTTTCACTAAAATTACATCAGAACGCCTATAACAATGTATTATATTATATCTTTCAAATGCCTCCCGGCACAAACGTAAAATAATAGTAGTATTAAATACCTTAGTTAAAAATAAGGAGGATTGTTATACAAAAAAATATTTTTACATCTGGCAAAATTTTTATTTCTAACATCAGAACAGTTCATTTGCATAGTGGTATTTAGTTAATAGCTACTTTTAAAAAAATGGGGACATAATCTTTTCAGTTGCATCTATATTTTCAGTAGGCTATAACCAGGAACAAAAAAATAAAAGCCTCTAGTAGCTTTTGGATTTTCTGTGCCTAAGATTAGAAGCATATAACCCTCTTGTTCAAAACATAGGCGCCCCTGGAAAGCAAGCGCCTTTAAAATCAGAGAAAGATGGTGCAGCCTTTCCAGGTTCTCTCAGTTTGACCTCACACCAGAACCCGCTCACATCCTCACCACATGCGGTGAAATGAACTTTTCTGAGTTTGCAGTGCAATAAACACAAAACGTCTGCATGCTTAAGTTAAAAAAAAAAAAAATTCCTTAAAAGCTCCCCCTCGCATCTGCGCCAATATGTTCCTGGTAAATAGCAGGTGAAGTGGCACTCCTGCATGTGGGATGTGTGCAGCCATGAGACGGAACCTGACACTGCAGGCGCACGGAGCGCGGAGATCAGGTTGGAAACATGCACCGCAACAGAACATCTCCAAATCGCATTCCGCATACTGAAATCTAATCCGAGGACATCAGGATGTGTGACATAATCCCCAAGACATCTGAAAACTTCGCTCCTCCAAACAAGGCTCCAGAGGTGGTTGGGAGAGATATGCGGACCTCTGTTACTCACTGTTTGCGCTCACATGGGTCTATAAAAGAGGGGGCGGATACCAACTAACCCCCCCCCCCAACCACCCAAACGTCAGAGCGTCCTGAACTATAAATCTTTCCAAACAGCCCCTCTGCGGCTGGCGAGATGGTGTGCGCAGACATATGCCCAGCTTCAGTCCAACATGAGAACGATGCGTGTGGAGAGCTCTGCGTAAACACAGACTGACTTGGAGAAAAAAATATGACAATATTTATCAGAATATGTTTTGTTTACTATGGCGAGATGGGTAAGAAATATTGGAGATTCTGGAAAAGGTGCGATTGAACTATTTTACCAGGAGGCAAACGAGCGTTAAAAAAAAACATCCTCCGGCGCTTTTCTCACTTGTTGGAGACGCTGATGTCTTCATTGGACTTTTCTCGGTTGGAGATGGTGGAGCTCTCTCGGATTTCCAGCGTGGAAACGTAGCATCCAATTAATCAGCGACTGCAACTGTACTCCGCGACCTGCAGAGACACCTTGGTCCACCGTCTTCAGAGACGCATGGTTCTTTCGGAGCCCTACGCTGGAATACACAACATATCTGGCGCAAACCTTTCCTGCGCCATTTGGACTTATACTGGTTTAAAATAAATCTCCATTTGGAGATTCTGACATGATTTACACAGTTAAGTCAACTGGGGACACTCTTGGAGTTACGCTTTCTGTTTGGATTTTACTATAAACCACTGAGATAATTTTAGGTCTGCATGGGCCATATTTAAGGTAGGTCAGTCTCTTTAATTCCTTCAAGTTTCAGACTCTGAAAATGCGCACTGCACAATGCAATTAGTAGTTTGGTTGTGGTAGGCTGTGTTTTTCCTCTAAAATAAAAAAATAAAATAAAAGAAGGAATTACGCATTCAGACGCTGAGTGTAAGCCTAGTATTTATCTATATGGAGCTGTTTAGGTTTACTGCAGACTTAACATGCCATTAGACGGAGTCATGTAAGCTCCGGGATCGCCATCTGGCCAGCTCACACCATTATTTAGGGTATCTTTGCCAAAACGCTTACCGTGCGTGCTTACCGACCTACCAGTCGCATGTGTGCTTTTGCGTGTTTGTAAGGCACACCCTAAGCGCTTCATCTGGAACCATTGGAGAAAAAAAAAGCATTTCATCCAAAGCGCCTGGATACTTGCGCGCATATATGCACATATTTGCGCACAACTGTCTGAGTAACAGCACCACCCCCTTTAGCCAATTCCACTGATAAAAACTTTAAGGATTTAAACGATAACCTCAATGAACTCATTTGTGTATATTTTATTACGGTAAATATTAATCACTCCCCCATTGGTGAATATTATACCACTTATGAAGAGAACTTTGCATATCTGGTTTGTCCTACCATGCCAAACATAAATCAGTCAGATGTACATATAAAAGCCATGGTAAAATAGAATAAAACTTTAAAAATCATTCTAAAATTGGCATTTAGATGTTTCTAAACGTACATTAAATCTTTTTAGACTATTTCCATGTGTGAAAAATACACCTTTTTTTTTTTAAATAACTACTGTTAAGTTGTCCTGTCATTGCTAATGACTTCATTAGTGTTAGGAAGAGCTGGCTACTAAGTTTGACTATAACATCGCTGCTGTTAGACTAGCAGAACTGGAGCAAAATGTTTGAAAGCTAATCTAATTAGGTGGCATGTAAATGTTTGCTTAGAAAGCCACACCAGTCAGTATGGCCTCGGGTTAAGATATACAGCCAGGTAAAGAAATCTGACTTTAGTATTAGCTGTATGCATGATACTAAAATAAAATATTGCTGGACAGAGTATTTTCTAGGGATGCACCGATCCAGTGTTTTCCGATCTAATCCGATACCTGGGCTGAGCATATTGGCCAATATTCAATACCAATTCAACTGTTGAATGAATGAATCATATATATCTTGCAATGGAAGGCTTTAGCGTTGATATAAGCATTGTTAAAAAAAAAAGGTTAAAAAAAATAACAGTAAATGTACTTTATATTACTTGTTAACAAATAAGCAGCAAAAAAAAAAAAAAAAAGAAAAGAAAGAAATAACAGCTCCATGCAAAGTGCACTGGATTGGGTCTCTGATATCTGATATCCAAACCAGCTAATTAGTCAATATTGGAGGCGATATCTGATCCAGGAGTTGGATCGGTGTAACTTTCGTGTTTTTGTCATCACAAGTCTTACAATCCTGAGAAAAATAAATCAAATGCTCTACAGGGTAAAATGTGAGAGGCGAAAAGTAATCCACATGGAGACGTCTATGAATGTCTACATTAAGGGTGTGCAAAATAATCGTCAAATCGATGAATCGTGATTCTAATTTTTGTGATCTACTGAATCGATTCTTGAAGGCAAGAATCGATTATTAAAAAAAAAAAAAAATGAACAAATAAAATACATGAATGGTTGGCGCACATCAATCAAACCAAGTGGAATACAACTTCCAGTCCAGCAGATGTCGCTGCGGATGTGTTGGCGCCTGCTGCTTTGTGTCATAAGCATGTCCGGACTGATTATCCTCATTTTGTTATTTTAAATTTGATGAATCCTAAGATCTTTTTGTTGGTGTGTCCATGCCAGTAATAGTAATATTTCTGTCCAGTATTTGTTTTCATGACAACACCTCCAAAAGTAATTTCAATAAATACAGCTATGTATGAATTCAGTTGCTTTCAGTTATGTATCAATTGAAGACACGATCCAGATCACACCCAGCCAGTCAGCCACTGGTAAGGGCTGTATCTTTTTCTTACAGTGTTCAGTGAAAATATCACAATGCATCGCAATATTTCAAGTATCGTGATGCATCGTGATAGAATCGCATCGTGGCATGGGAATCGTGATTCGAATCGAATCGTGACTTCTTTGCCAATACCCACCCCTAGTCTACATATTAATGAAATGTTGTTTGGGTTGATGACGTCATGCTAAGTAAGCCTTACTTTTACCATTTTCTTTCAGCCAATTAAAAAAAAATTACACAACCACTGAAGATGTACATTTTTAAACATGTTTTTTCAGCTAAAATATGGCTAAAGGGATATTTCGCATTATTCAGCATTGAAACATCTGCTGGAGACTCCAACTTAGAATAACAGGTGAATTTTTCCATTTAGACTTAGACAACTTTTGTCATTTAATTAAAGTTGGTTAAGTCTAAGTCATTTGAGGGAAATCTCTAAACTCTAAACCTTACATATGCAAATGTGTACTTGAATAAAATTAGTTAACTGTAAAAGACTCAAATTGAATATTATTCAAAATTATTTTGTTGTTGTGAAAATAGGCTGTCTGTCTGCTGTTGTACATCTTTATGGTGAGCTTTTTATCTTCTTCTCCGCTCACCAGAGACATAATTTGTGATCAAACTCGTTTGACACGATGATGCACTGATTATCACAAAAAGAGATGTGCTACATCTAACCACAGCACTGATATTGATATGTTGATTTTTCTTGTCCCCATTAGAAAAATACTGGTTGATTTTCTCAGAGAACGTAGATATTTTAAAGATTTGCTTCACCTCATCATTTTAGTTGACTTACATTTTAGACATTTTAGATAACTTACACCAGTGTTCTGTGGTCTATGTTTATTTTTGCAGCTTTCATCATTGGAACTGAGTCTAAGATGAAGTTATGGGATGTTCTGGCCACGTGTTTCTTGCTCCTGACCTCCGTTGCTACACGGCCTCTCTACCAAAACACTCAGCCAGCCAAGAGGACTCCCTTCTCCAGCAGCTACCGTGATTCTGGGTCTCTATCTGTGGAAGACGAAGAACCACTGTTCCAGGGTGAAGTGCAAAACCTGCAGGAGATCTCCATGGAGGATCATTGTAAGACTTCTTTGTAGATGTATTAGCAGAAGATGTTTTGTAACTGATTCTTTTTAGGCAGGATTAGTTAAAAATGTTCAGTTTTCAGCCTCTGTAAATTATGCTTTGGATTTCTTAAATTCAATTTAGTCCCAGTGGGAATATTTGTCATTTTACAGATCAAATAGTATTTTCCAGATCAAGTAGGAGAGGGTATATACAGTATGCAAAAATAAGTAACATGCCTTATCTAAACATAATCTCACTCAGGTGCTTCTAAATGCAAAGTAATTTGGCGTATTCTGACTAATTGCTCTTAAGAAACACCCTGTAAAGTGATTAGAAATGGGTGGGTAGTCCATCACAAAGGTTATCAGATGCAAGGTCTTAATTTTTGTTTTATTGCTGCTTTTGTGTTACATCATCATGTTGTCTAAACAAACCAGCAGCAAGTGGAAGACTTTGAACAGCTCCAATCAGCAGACTTCTCTTTTCACATTTTTCTGTCTCCTCTTGTTTACATTCACCCCTGCCTCTCTTCAGCTCAGACACCCATGACCTCTACCCATCTGCCAAAACTCAGAGATCATGGCAGGTTTTAGATGAGGCACTGCGAACCAGGTCACAAGAGTTTTTTTTTTTTAAGTTGGGGGGGCTTTTCTGAAGCACAGAACAAGCATTCTATGTTTATATTCATTCCGGCAGAGACGGTGGGCAGGAATTTATTCTGTTTGGATCAGCGTGACACTGTATCATCCTCACTTTGGAGTAATCACAGCTAAGAACTAGATAAGGCATGGAACATTTGGGGCAAGTGTTTGTCTTTGCCACTTCATATTGTGTTTGGAGCGCAGTGACATTACCGATCTGCAGTGGATCCCAAGACGATGAAGTCTTCAGGAACTGTGTAAACAAAGCGGCAATGGGGAAAGAAAGGATTGGTCGCTTGGTTTATGCCTATGTCAAATAAAAACAGCAGTTGCTGTTAAATTTTGGCTTCAGCTTTGAAAGTACTAATTTTAAAACATTCTTAGGCAGTCTGGAAAAGTTTGGAATTTTACTCTCAAGTCGGATGGCCATGGAAAAATTAATTAGGGCTTAATTTCAAGACTTTATTCCCTACTTTCAACCATTTATCTATGTTACAGAATCCTTATATGAGGTCCGACTTCTTAATCAGTCTTTAATTTCTTAGACAGAAACAGTAGGTCTATTTATACTTAAAATATTTGCTAGAAAAATAGCAAAATTTGATTAAGATCATTAGCTGTGTGCAGTATAGTCTGTCAACAGGTGAACTCTGTGACCTGTTGTCTTTCAGCTGACACACAATAGAAGGTGTCTAAATCAAAGGATAGGTGTGTCTAAACAGATTGGCCCCGTAGTTCACCTGATACACGAAGGCCAGCCTAATCAGCTGTGGCGCTCAGCGAGATCAGATAGCGCAGGTTAAAAAGAAAAGATAGGGGACACTGCAGAGTAGACGCTGCGTTAACCGCAACACCACCTGCCAGATATCTCACCCCCGCTGGCCGTGACTTCTTGATGCACGTACAACATGTCAACACACATCTGAGCGCTCAGGCGTGCCCACGTTACGCAGAGTTGCTCAGGTGATATAATTAGTATTTGACTAATTGAGTCATGACAGATAGATGCTTTTTTATGACCAAGTTAAGTGTTGCAGTACCTGCGGGCGTTCACCCAACTGCTTAATAGGATCAACGTTGAATTCAGGAGGGTCTTCATTTCATCTAAGAGCAGATGGCTCTGAGTTGTACTGCAACCTATTTTTCAGTTTCATCTAAATAACTCAAAGCATATGCCTTCCTGCCCTGTCCATCCATCAGACATTTAAACACATTTGTCATCTATTTGCCCTTGACTGTATCAAACCAGGCAGTTCCTGTGTGAAAGCTCACTAAATCTGCCTCAAAGGGAAAAAAAATCTACAGGTGTAGCAAGAAAACCAGGATGTGTTTCTACCTTTAAGACAGAATGGCCAACAAATACTGCAGAACCTTACAGGACAACATGATAAAGACAAAAGAAAAGCAGGAAATCTTGCAGAAGATTAACTGAAATTCCTATATTAATGTAAGTTAGTTTTATGTATTTATCATCAGCTTCAACCAGATTTCGATCTTTTTATTATCTCATAAGCACTAAATGGATAAATAGCCCCATTACTGATATATCTTAAAAAGACGTTATCAGTGATAACGTCTCAGGTTTGAGTCTTGGCCTTTGGACCTTCTCCACATGTTGTCTCACACTAACCCCCATCTCCTGTCAAAATAAATAAAGTCACTAGTGCCAAATAAACACAGCTGCTTGGAAAAAAATTTTGATATTATGATAAAAAAAACTCAGTGTTTCTAAATAGAATATGATGTAAAACTCCAACACAGATTAGCTTATGAATGTGAAATGGGAGGAAAATTTGACATGCTTTTCAATATAATTTTAAAAGAAAAAAGGAAAGGTTTTCCAGGCTTTTCACTCCAGTCTCCTTTACTCTGATACCTTCAAACAAAATTAGTTAAATTAACCACCTTCAGAAGTCAGCTGTTTGGTTTTATTTAGGTCCACCAATTCACTTTAATTTAAACTCTGAGGGCCACAGAGGGTTTATGGAGAAAGCAATATCATGAAAACCAAGGGACCACCAGAAGCAGTTTAAAACAGTTTGATTATAAAATTATTTTCCCTCAATGTCCAGCTGCTTTAAAAACTACAAACCTGACAAGACATTCAATGCAAGGAAAGTATTCATCAATGATATAAGCAAGAAGTCAGGGTTAAGTCTGGATAAGCTGCAAAGATTATATCCACAGCTCAGGTAGGAGGATCTGCTCCGATGACAAATAGTAATCATGCATTCCAAAAGTATGATCTTCATGGAAGAGTTGCAAACAGAAAATCATAGCTGGAAGAAATCCAGAAGAAGTTCCCTCAGCGGTTTGCCAAAATCCATTTAGGGAAGACAGCAAGCAAAATCTTTCCTCTTCAGAGAAAGAGAAGCAGTTTGATTACTTAGATCAAAACATGCAAATGTTTTAGGACTGCCAGACCAAAATCCAAATCTATAGCGAAAGCTTCAAAGTAATCCAATCTGACTTAGCTTGAGCTATTTCACCCAAAGAATGATCAAATATGTTCCTCTTCAGAAGACTTCAAGCTGTGGTTGCAGCAAAAGTGATTGTAAAACTAACATTTTTTAATCAACACACTTTTTAGATTGACATGTAAAAAACAAAGGAATTAACAAAAAGCTAAGCTGTGTATAATTGCCTTTTCACCTCACTGATCTTTAAAATAAAATCCTAATGATGTTTTTTGTCTATACATTTTGTTTTTTGTAAACTACAGATCTTACAATGTATTTAACAGTATATTAAAACCAGATTTGTCAAAAGTATTCATGTTTATTACTCAAGTAAAAGTATGAATCCTACGGTTTAAAAACACTTTTGTAGAAGTTAGAATATCAATTAAAGCTTTTAATAAAGTAAAAGTGTAAAAGTACAATTTTAAAAACTATTTAAAGTATAAAAGCAATGCAGGAACTTTTTTTAAAGGTGTAGTGGAGGATGTTTTCTTCCCGGGTGGATCATCAAAATAAGTGGTCCTCCTAACAGTCAATCATTCTGGTGATATGTTTACGTAAGGCCATCCCTTGTGCTCATCCCTATTTTCACTTACCGGTGGTGAGTCTGACATAGTGGAAATATTGCAAATCTTCTTTTATAAAGTAAGCTTGTATAGGCGATGCAAACAGCAACTTTTAAACAGAGCGTGCACCAGGAGAAATGGGCTTGTGCGTGCTCTTGCACAAATTTAATAGTAATTCCCTCTTGGGGGCGGTTACTGGGTGATGCATGTGCATTTTTTCTTTAAAATTCACAAAAATCCTTCACTACACCTTTAAGGAGAGATGCTTTAAACCTTATACTGGTTACTGGTCTACCCGATTAAAGGAAAATTTTTCTACTATTCTGGATTATAATTTCCTTATACCGAATTTTCTTAGTTTCATAACTAGTGGTATTTATCATATTTAAATTTGCATTATATTGAAAAACTGTGTATTTTGGTATGTGGCAAACAACAAGTTGGAGTCCACGCATTATCCCTGCTGGGTCGCGAGGGGTGCTGGTGCTTATCTCCAGCTGTCTACTGAGGCGGGGTACACCCTGGACAGGTCGCCAGTCCATCGCAGGGCAGTATTGAGTCCAACCACAAAGAAACTGTCTGGATGAAACAAATTATTTGGATTGATGGTTCTTTTTTTCTTTAAATACCAACAGGCCATGAAAATTAGCTTAAATGAAGCAAAACTAACAAGTCTGTTTTTAAAATGTAAGTAGTAGAAAGAGATAATTGCAAGAAAATGTAAGAGTAAAAAATAATTACTCAAGTAAAGTATAGCTAGCCAAAATGTCTACGTAAGTAAGGTAACAAAGTATTTGTAGTTTTTTATTTTACACCTCTGGTTAAAATCCTATTTAGAACACATGTCAAATGTATGTTAATGTACACATTACGACCAAGCAATCACAAGTTTATCTCGTCCTTCAGCCCAGACAGCGTTCATGAGCCAAGACATTCAGGCCAATAGTTATGGGTCTTTAAAACTTGTTAATAATAAGGATGACGGTTCAATCTGCTTCACACTAACATTAGTAGTATTAGTATGTTATTGTGCGAGATAGTTTTGAGGTTGTTAAAGCTTTCTAGGCTATTAAAATATTCCTTCATTGACATTTTAACCAAACTTTTGTTCTTTCTAGCCCGTCTTTTTTATTTTTTATACATATATATATATATATATATATATATATATATATATATATATATATATATATATATATATATATATATATATATATATATATATATATATATATATATATATATATATATACATATATATATATATATATATATATATATATATATATATATATATATATATATATATATATATATATATATATATATATATATATATATATATATATATATATATATATATAAACGACAGGGTGTTGTCAGCAAAATGTTTAGATAGGTGGGAAGTCAAAATGCAGGTTTGCCAATTTGTGGTCAAAGTGATGGAGTGGAGTCCTGGTGCAATGACTCATTTGTTGTAGCTCCATAAACATGAGAAAGAATAATTAAAAGAAGGGAACAGAGTAAGCAATTGAAGCCAACATGTTTTGCAGCTCTGACCTTTGATTTAGCTATTTAAAGCTCAAGTTATAAATGACTCAGTAATGTGTTGGTTCTCTAGATTTTTTTATTTCATGAAAAATAAGACATTCTGACAGAAAGAAAGGCTGATAAGAAAACAAAGAATGATACTAAGTGAAAAAATAGCATATCTTCTCAAAAAGCACTGCAAATAAAGCATTTCAGTTTCCTTTGGTGTAAAAAAATTGTACTAATTTCTACATGAATGGCGTTTGTGTTATTTGTCAAAACATCATAGATGACATGAAAGTTTTGGGACAATCATAACTCGGTGTTAGCGTGGCATCACTCCTCCCCTAGTCTAAAGTGTGCTGAAAGCCCCTCAGGCAACAGACTGAAACTACTTTTGCTCCTGATGTGTTCATTGTTGTGTGAAGGAAAGTACAAAGTGCTGGGTTTATATAACATAACGGAAAGCATGGTGTTAAATGAGAACAGGAACCCCGAAGATACAGTTTCAGTGTGGAGCAGTTTACACAGGTCACATTTATATAGAAATGGTAATCAGGGGAACCTTTGGTTTTGTATACTAGTATTTATCTCTGTGAATATCTTTGGAAACCAACAGATCGTTTCACAGAGTACCCCATTCATACTCACATTTCTACAAACAGTTTCCATACAAATAATCATTCTAATATAATTGTAAATCATTTTCTGTAACTTGGATGTCATGATGGGCTGTAATTCAGTGGTTAAACCCCAGTCGGCCTCGGCAGATGGCCGCTCACACTGAGCCTGGTTCTGCTGGAGGTTTCTTTCTGTTAAAAGGGAGTTTTTCCTCTCCACTGTCGCTACAAGCATGCTTAGTGTGAGGGATTGTATTTGAGTCAATGAGTCAATGCAATCAACTGGTTTTCCTTAGATAGAAAACTTTGTATCAATTTGACTGTATGATCTGGTTGAACTGTAAAGTGCCTTGAGATGACATGTGTTGTGAATTTGGCGCTATATAAATAAACTGACTTGAAATTGAATTGAATTGGTTAGCACTTCTGCTTTGCAGCAAAAGGTTTGATTCCTGGCCCGGGTTCTTTTGCATGGAGTTTGCATGTTCTCCCTGTGCATGCATGGGTTCTCTATGGGTACTCTGGCTTCCTCCCACAGTCCAAAAACATGACTGTTAGGTAAATTGGCTTCTCTAAATTCTCCTTATGTGTGAGCGTGTGTGGGAATGGTTGTTTTTCCTGTGTGTCTCTGTGTTGCCCTGGGATAGACCGCCGACCTGCCCAGGGTGTACCCCGCCTCTCACCCATTGACAGCTGGAGATAGGCACCAGCATTTCTCACGACCCCAGCAGGGATAAGCCTGAAGGAAAATGGATGGATGGATGGATGGATAGATGGATGGATGGATGGATGGATGGATGGATGGATGGATGGATGGATGGATGGATGGATGGATGGATGGATGGATGGATGGATGGATGGGTGGATGGATGGATGGATGGATGGGTGGATGGATGAATGGATGGATGGATGGATGGATGGATGGATGGATGGATGTTATGATTGCAGTTCAAATAAACAGTTTATAAACTCGGATTGGTCGAAATAACTACTGGTGAATTCCTGCTGGTAACGTGATTACTGGAGCTACATAACACATTTATTTGTGAGAAGATAAGGTACAAATACTTTAAATAATGAAATTTTAAAATATTGCTAAATCTAAATCTCGCATTGGTCAGACTCTTTTCTACCTGCAAAGGTTGGGTACAAACACCCTGAGGGAGTTGCTATCTCCAGGTTCAGAGTCAGCGTCTGCCCCAAGAATAGTCATGAGATGTGAATAACAAAGAAAACAATGAGTTACTTGAAGGAAGCAGTTGACCCAAGGGCTCTCTAAAAAGGTGATGGACTAAGCTTTGAATGTCATGATGGTTGAAATTGTGCCATATGGAGGCCAATTTTCTACAGCATCACCTGTTAAATTATAGTGGTATTTATATTAGCGCAGGAAGAGAGAGGCCCAATCTTCTAAAATGACCTTGCATCTGTTCAATTTTCTTTATGGCCTATACAGAGTTCTACCTCAATGACATACAGGACAGACATTCTTAAAGTGACTGCGGACAAGGTCTTCTTATCCAACATCAGTAGTTGACCTCAAAGATGAGGTCATCAGCCCATTAACACACTCCTAGACATTTCTGAAAAGTGTTATAGTAGTAGCAGTATTTAATACAGATCAATAAATTAACTTTTCTCTTCTTCACCTTTTAGATGACACGATAGCTCCCTACCCAAACCAGTTTGAGGATGTGATGGATTTTATCGAGGCTACCATTGGCAGACTGCGGAGGTCATCGGACAATAGCGGGAGCACCGGAGGACGGAGAGAGCAGAGACAGAGAGGAGCAACAAAAACAAGAAGCACAAAAGATGAGAGAAGAGGGCACGGGGGGAAGAGGAAGGGTCGAGGCCGGGCAGGAGGCCGAGGAGGCAAGGGAGGGGAGAGAGAGAGGGAGAGGATATCTGTACAGAGTCGTGGCTGCTTACTTAAGGAGGTCCATCTCAATGTGACGGATTTGGGGTTGGGGTACCAGACTAAGGAAGAGCTGATCTTCCGGTACTGTAGCGGACCCTGCATTGAGGCAGAGACCAACTATGACAAGATCCTAAATAACCTCACACACAACAAAAAGCTGGACAAGGACACACCCTCTCGCACCTGCTGTCGACCGATCGCGTTCGATGACGATTTGTCTTTTTTAGATGACAATGTCGTGTATCACACATTGAAAAAGCATTCAGCTCGAAAGTGTGGCTGCGTCTGAGAAAGTGAGAAAAGCATGACAAAATTGGATCGTTTTAGCAGATGCTGCAGACAGAGGCATTGCAGTGAGACATGTGCACTGGAGGTCAGAAGGTGTTGCCTCATATTTGTCAGCTGGTACCAAGATGAGACAAAGTGGAGAGCCTTGAGAGCTTCTGAGAGACAATGGAACTGCTGGGCTAAAACAAAACAACCTGCACCAATTTACATACGATATTCCAGTTTGTGCATAAAGGTTCCAGTTCACAGCAGATTGAATACTGTTACACTAACAGAGTGTGGTCAAAAAAAGAAGATGAAGGAAAACTGTGATTTTGCAGGAGGATATCTTTCCCTGGGAGTTACGTCTTTTCATAGGTGGCTGGATGAACCCCGAGATTTTAAGGGGAACTCTCTCAGTTGTAGTCAAAATCACTTCCACTGCAAAGTCTGGATGTTGACATTCAGAGCCAAGGAATACACACTGAGGCGCAGCAAAGACTGGTGCAAAACATTTACATAAGAAAATTAACATATTAACATACAGTATATATATATATATATATATATATATATATATATATATATATATATATATATATATATATATATATATATATATATATATATATATATATATATATATATATATATATATATATAATTTTAAAATGGTATGTGTAAGAGGTATATTTATTGAGATGGAATTAAGTTATTGTTATTTATTTCAATCCATTGTATGAAAGAAAAAGTATTTTTTCTTATTTATTTACTAGCTTTGTTTGTCCTGGATGGTGCCACAGTACTAGGTTTTCTAATGCAAAATATTTCAAGGTTTCTCAGAACTGCTAAACACTCCCAAATATCTTGGAAATGCTTTTTCATGTCGTTTAAATTCCAGCAATGTTCACAAGTGACAACCAAAAGATGATCATTTACCGTGAAGGCAATGTACAGAGACAGAGGAGGGGACCAGTAGATGAGTTATGGTAGAAATGATTGGAGGAATTTTGAGCTTTTTTAAACTGTTTTAAACAAACAGTGGTATATTTTGCATCATTTTTCACTTAGGCAAATGCTTTGGCATGGGAAACATTAACTTACTTCCAACAAAACCTGACTCCTATATTTAAAACCATCCATTTATTATGCTCTGTTTGCAATAAAGATGTACTGAGAATTCATTTGGTGACCAAAACCAAAATTCAAAAATACTATAGAAAGAAAAATAGGAAAAATACCATCATCACTGATGTCATTTTATTTAGGCTGTGGTAGAAACACCACTCTTTTGTGTGGTTGCTGTCATTGCAGGAAAAAGGTAAAGTGAGGTATCAGAAGAGTTTGACATTAGGTCACAAGAAGCAAAGCAAAAATAAAAATAAGTTAAACTATTTAAAAGGAACCAGTATTTTTGCTTAATTTTGAATGCAATATAGAGAGCTAAACACAACAAAACATGCCTATCCAGTGACAGAACAAATTTTAAACTTCAATATCAACTTTGAGCATTTTATAAAGGAGTTTAGACTTCAATTAGCTGTGAAGTTAAAACTCAGAACTAAAAATAACCATCAACCATCTTAAGTGCCACTTTGGTAACTGAAATTCAACAATCGTTTATACAACCATGTGTTTTCTCAGTACTCTGTAGCAACATGTTTGTAAAGGAGGTTCTAAAGTACATTTGTATGACTGATATAAATAGATAGAAATTACCAAAGGTGATAAGTAACCAATTTTTAATTAGTTTTAAATGAAAAGCAAGAATATTGTATCTTTTATCAGTTGGCTGTTGAAACTTCTAATTTTCCACACATTAAATCACAGCTTCCAGGTACTTTTCAGTTAATTTAGCAACCTTCTGATTACCCATAAAGTATATTAATGCGTCTACTTTCTGTTCTTCAACCAGTTAAGAAGCACCAATAGACAAGAAAGGTTTTCTAGATGATTTTTGGTTGATGTAACTTATTAACCAACATTAGTTGAATTGTGTTGTGCCTAAAGTGTACCCTAGCGGCCTTCGGAATGACAAAAACACAACTTAAGACAGGCATACAGTTGGTTGGGCAACATTTGGCACAGGCCGTTAATGCAGATGAGTGATTTTTAAGATATTTAGGCTGGAAATGGGAAATCGGTGAGGCTCTTAAAAAGATGAAAACAAATGTTAAATAGGAAAATATAATGTATAACAAAAGGTATGTGCCTTTTACCGACTCTGATTTATGCTCTCATTATAATTCCTTAGTAAATATAACTCCAGCGACTTCGTCCCACCCATTTACCATTTTCAGAGAGTGAGTAACCAATATCCCGCTTTTGTAGCTTACAACAGACAAAACAGTTACCTGGACTAAAGAATAGTAATCGGTTAAATCAAACTGTTTTTAAAGTTGTTTATATTTAAGGTTTTAAAATGTTAATTAAAAAAGGCCAATATATAGTTTTAATAGTACCATTTTAGACCATTTGACAAAATGCTTGGACACCATAAACTAGAAGGTTTTACCTAAAGAAACAAAATTTTGTTGAGTAAGTCATTCTGCCTAATATTAGAGTAACTTCTCTAAATACTGTACATGGACATTAATGTAGCATTGATAGCCACATTTCTTGTGATTTGCCATGAAATAAGATTCTAAAGACATTTTGAAATACCAACTCCATTACCACACACAGTATGACAACGCCTCTGCTATTAATCTAAATAATAAATTACCATTTAATTATTAAGCAGCTGCATCAATGAAACCTTTTTGAAAGGCTTAATAAGATTATTACTTACAATTTAAAATTGGGACACATTCAGCTTTTAGATAAACTATTTAAATGGAGAAAATGCATGTTAATTCACCCAGAATACCTTTTAGGTTATTCTAAAGCAATTATAGAAATGGGAATCTCAAAGACATCACAAGCAAGCTTTGGCAGATGCATGAATCCTTGCCAAATAGCAGAGGTTATACAAAATCCATGAATGGCCTTGCACTAGTTCTAAGTGCAGATTTACAGCAGTAAATGTCCCAGTGAGCTTTAAACTTCACAAGTCTGCCTATGTTTCTGCCCACACCATGACTGACAGCTCTTATTCCTTCAAAGGGGATTTGGAAGTGATCCTCTGACATGAGTCTTAACTGTATATCCCCTCCAGCAAAGACAGTTTAAGGAAGATCTAGCTACTGTAGCTGCTGTTGTCATGCAGCCGCTATATGTATGTGAAGACTAGACGTTTAGACAAAGGAGTATGTTTTGGAAAAACCTAGAGAGAGGACAATGGGTCTGCTCAGTATGCTTTCTGCACGTAACAACTTGTCGAACAGAAGACATTTCTCAAACTAAAACAAAGATATATATGAAAAGCAGCTGTGTATCCCCCTTTTAAAGACAGGGCAGTCATTATAAGTGGAACAAAGAGAGCCCTCGTTTAGGTCTCGATGTTAGCACGGATTAGGGACCAAGGTATCTGTGCCCACCCGGCAGCAAGCTAGCCAGTTTTACTGTGTAATCCCCCACCCCCCATGCACAGAACAAATCCACTGCATCAGGATGAATTTAGGCCAAATACTAAACACAGATAAAAAAAATAAAATAATCTAAATTTTATCACCTGAAACTGTATCATCTACGCTTCTTAATAATCCATTTGTGCATAGATCAGACATCCTTGCCACTCCTCGGTAAGCATGGCAACTTCTCATCTTCATTACCTTTAACCTAACTGTCCACCGGCAAGCTTCCTCTTAAAAACGAAGGAATCTGCAATGTTAGCATTTGTTTTCACTCTGTTAGAATTTTTGTTGAGGAAAGAACCTGTATTGTCTCACTTGTTTTGTGTTACAGAACCAAAGCTCTCTGCAAACTTTATTTTTGTACAATATTCATTTTATAACTTTTTACAGAATTAAAACTGTTTCTATTAAATCAACAGGACTCCTGGTATTCCAATGATCGAGCATGATTCACTTATGACTTGCATGACTATGTTATTATTTTTTCTTAATCTTTTCTATATGGGGGCGCTTTGAGCTGCAGAGGACAAAGGGAATGACGTATTGAAGAAGGATGAGTATCTTCAATTTTTTTTCAACTTCATCTTCAATTTACAAAATCATTTTTTTTTTATTTTAGTTACCCTCTTTTTTTCAAAAGTGACAATAATCCCAAATGCATCATGGTTGTAAAGCAAAGCCGACTGACAAGGCAAGGCAAGGCAAGGCAAATTTATTTGTATAGCACAATTCAGTACAAAGACAATGCAAAGTGCTTTACATGATTAAAATATAGGAAAATAAAACAGAATCAAAGCAAGTAGGAAAAAAATAAGAAAATAAATAAATAAAAAAAATTAAACATTGGGTATTAATCTGACCATAACCATAGGGAAAATCCCATCTCTGCCAATTTTGCCAAGGAAAGTTGTCAACCATACAGATGAGTTAAATGAATCCAAAACATAGGCATCAAATCCTTCTTTTAAACATTTTTTAGTTAGCCTTTCCACCCTGGAAAAAATAAAGATTCAAATCTCTCCTAAAAAAAGCCCTAAATTAAGAGTTTTTATACCCATGGTGAGTGTATGTAAACTGCTCACTGCCACTGTCTCTCTTTACACAAACATGAAAAATTTTGGTTTAGTGGTAAATTTAGTCAATCCTTTGCAAGTTAGCCTCAACAATGGGCCACTGACTTTTGCGTTTAGATTCTTGAACCAGAGCCCAGGGTCTGCTGTAAACAAAAGCGTGGTTAAGAGCCCTGAGTTGTAAATTACAATTCTGGAGAATGTTTCCACTGTACTAGGGAGATGTGTGCCGATTTTGTGACACAGAAAGAGTTACAAAAGAAGCAATGTAATCCAACTAGTGAAATGCAAGAGCTAATTTCTAGCAAAATTAGCTCTTAGAACAAATGCAATTAGAACACAATTGCAGATCAAATGTGAAAATTAACTTTTAATCTGGAAATTTAAAAATACCACAGCCCTACAGACCCATGTTGACTTTTTTCCTTTTTATCATGATTCAAGAGCAATCCAGATGTTAGATACAAGGAATTAAAAGATGGAAAAAGCAATAAGCATAACCTTTTTTCCCCCCAGATTTCAATTTGCAGCTTTATTTTTCTGTGATCCTTCCACTCTTAGTGAGATTGGATTGTTAGTAGACCATATTAAGATCCTTTCCTAGAATGTTTTATTTAGATTTACATCGGGGTCTGGATGGGCCACTGAGGGACAATCATTAATTGTTCCAGCTTTTATCATCTAGTATGCTGGGTCATTGCTTTGTTGGAAGATGATTGGTTGGTATAATTTCTTTATGAATTTCTCTAGATTTGGGTGCTGTCATCTCGCCATATTCTATGTGGAATAGCTGCTGGCTGCTTAATGAAAAACAAAAAAACTGTTTTGCTGTTTATTGTCTATTTCTAAAGCCTGCCAATCAATGTGTTGGCATGTCCATCAGGCCATTCTACCATAAATGTCTGACAGGTAAAGTGCATTAGCAATGGTAGGTCTTCTAAGTATCTCCATGAAGAGACTATTAAACACAGACTTAAAGACTGTTTGGTTTTTGGTCGCCTCTCTGACCAAAAAGTGCTCAGTGTTTCAGACAGCCAGTCATATTTAGGATTCTAGTGGTTCCAAACTTTAAAAAGGCACTAAATGCCACCGCTTTCTTTTTCCAGATTCTGTTTTAGTCTTCAGAATTTTTTTTGCTTCATCACTTGCTTTGCAAAGAGAGCTGTGAGATCTGGCATACAAACATTTCTAAATCATGTCCTAATCGAAGCGGACTTGCAGAAAGTTGCAGAAGCATCTTACCGTATATACATTTTTTGATTTTGTTTAAAAATACTTATTTGCTCTTGTTTCATGTGGATATGATTTAAAGTTATAAGAAGAAGGCAATAAATGAAATTTAATTTCTACAATATCAGAAAGGGTTTTTCCTACAGCAGACTGACAAGCTTTTCAGGATTATTACCTGCTGACCAGAGGTATCACTCAAATGCTCATCACACCAATCACATCTGTAAGTCATATCCTGTGTGAGAAAGATTCTCCAACAACTAAATGTCAGAATCAATTGCAATGTTTTGAGTCTGACCCCTTTCATTTTGGAAACCTTCCTGGAAACTTCAAAATTATGTTTTGGTACAACCACAGCATGTATAAAATAAACTAAAGATTTTATTTAGTTCATCTGGTCTCATGAAGATATCACTGGCAGATTATATATGTAAAAAAATAGTCATTTGAGTGAACTGAGCTTTTAATAGGTGATTATTTAAATTACTTTACCTTCAGGCAGGTATTTCCACACCAAGCGTCTCAGTTTCACAGGTGCTGGTGCCAGGTGACAGGACTTCAGGGTAACCAACCATCCCCTTCACTTACTTTGGCTGCAGTGCAAAAAAAAAACATTAGCCTGCTACCACACAGTTAGTCTGCCCTTTTCAATTTTGTAATTAAATATTCTAATTCCTCCAAATTGATTCTGGTAAAACCTTTGTCTTCATTTCATCTTCTGACTAAACAGTATTTCAAAAGACAATAAATCTGTCCCCTCATTCCTACTGGCCAGAAAGCACTTTTTTTTTGGTTTCTGGGTTCGTAGGTAACTGAAAACGAACATCAGAAAAAATTATGAGACTCAAGGTTTTAAAAGGGCTTTAGAAAAAAGGAAGTTACACAGAAACGTAAGATACCAACCCTAAGCGTGTTGTTCACTTTTCTTCACCAAAGATTTAAAGGATGCTGATGTTAAACTACAACTTTAATGCATTTTAATAGGATTGCAAATATGAATCTGAAGTGAATAAGGTTCGTTTGCATCAACACATTTTGGGAAAATGTTTTATACAAATAAAGCTGCAAATCCTTTAAGGTATGAAGACCGGCCTGGCACATCTAGAAACATGAAAGATTTGCTTGTGGTCTATTGCTAATTCTAGGTTAGACATGATGGGGAGTGTATGTAAATATGTAATTTTAAGGTTGACTTATGTAAATTTTGATTACGCCACTACAACTCATTAACATTCTTTGATCTGAAGCATTTCTTTGCTATACGTTTATAGTCATCCTCTTGCTGGAAGGTGAACCTCAATCATTACCCTTTCTCAGCCTTGAATAGATTTTCTTCCAGATTTGTTCTGTCCAGGATTCCTCTTCAGCTCTCCTGCAGCATGAAGATACCACCAACAGGTTTTTGTTTTGGTCAGACTGATTCTGAGTATCTAGCTGTGTTTTGCATGTAGACCAGAAGGTTTCATTCTATCCTCATCTAACCAGACCAGTTCTTTCACATTTGCTCTGTCCCTACTTAATTCCTGGCAACCTTCTTTCTTTCCACATCTTCATAAAGTCCACGTTTGTTCTTCTGTCGACAGTTTCTCTGCAGTTTCTCCAAAGTTACCATGCAGCCTGTTTTTAATCAAAGGTTGGACACCAAGATCTAGGTGGGATTCAGGCTGGAGGATACATGTTTTAAGCACAGGAAGTTGTTTTCTAACCTAACTTTACGTTACAGTCATTCACAGCTTTATCCCTGACCAGTCTGCCACGTTCCTCGTTTTTCCTAACCATCTTTGCTACTTAATATTTCCAACAAACCTCTAAAGATTTCAAAGAACAGCTGAATTTACACGTTGATCAAATGCATTTCATATCACCCAGATTCTTTTACAAAAGAAAGTAAACTATGGATGATTTTCCTTCCACTTCTCCAAGTGTTGATTATATAAAATAGAAAGAAGTTCATGGTTGTAACAGGACAAAATGTGTAAATGTTTTACTTTTGGAAGGCATTGCATGCTATAAAGCAAATAAAACTCACAGTAACACGTGGTAGGCAGAGGCTGCATTCCAATATGCTGAACACAAACATGGCTTTCATTATTTCTATTGTGGGCTTTCTCTGTCACTCCAACTATCACAGACACAACGCAGGTCATTTGACATTTTTCTAAAGAAACTGTTTCATGTCACAGACAAAGATGTGAAAAGGTTGTAAAGGTGTAAAGGAGAAAAAAGGCCTAATTTAAAACAGGAGAAAATATAGTATTGGACCTCAGGAGGTTTTCAAAACTCATGCTTAAGTCAGAGTTCTATGCAAAACTGAGATCTAGAAACTCAAATTAATAGAGCATGTTTACTGTAAAGGTGAAAATCCGCTAAATGAAACTATAACAGGCCAATGGTGACGGTCAGGAATATAAATTTCTCCTCCATGCAACCACAGCTTTACAAAAAAAATAAAATAAAAATTATTTTGCCAGAGTAAAAATTCCCTTCTTTATTTTAAGCAATGCATAGCGTGTAAAAGGCTTTCAATGCAGTAAGTAAAAACAGCAGGACTGCTGCGTATCTTCAGGTTTGAGCTTGTGTCTCACAGGAAAGGCATTCCTTTGATCAGCAGGTAAAACAGATCAGACTCAGCTTCACTTTGGATGAAAAACGACTATTTGACAAGAGGAGATATGTTCCTTTATTTAAGGTTTGAGTTGGTTTACATGGTGTAGAGAAAACAGCAAATAATTGAAGGCCTTGCGAAAAAAAGCACAGCTTTCAAAACGTAGAATCTAAAAAATATTCCCACATAAAAACAGCTAAAATCATATTACGATGCACTATTTGCAAACTCTCCTGGTAACGAACGGCACCGAACCACAAAAATCTGGAGCTGATTTACGAGGTATTAGTAACCTCTGGAGACCTAGGGTGTGAGGACAATAGAAATTATATAATTATAGTCGACACAATCAAAACAGACATAAAAAGGGAAGCGGTTCATGTTTAGCAGTGAAAGGATCATAAAACTGTAGAATGGTAAATTTAGATTTACGAGTTTACTTTATTCACTACAGCAGAATATAAAGAGAGGCTTTAAGCTTTATGTCTACAGAACAGAGGGCAGAGATGGAATTTAATTGACGTTCCTGAGCATTTTGTCTGCCTTTCTGCTTTAACCAAACTATCAGCTAATCTCTTCAGTCTTCTAGATCTTGCGTTTCTTCCACTCTGGTTCTTTTTCAGCCTCCTCATCCTCGTCCGACTCCTCTGCGAACACAGGCTCCGGTTGGGTCCTGCAGGGATTCACAGAGACGAGCAATGACTAAACTGTCTTTTGATTTAATTAATGTTCAGACAGATTTAGAGCAAACAATAGAATCATCCAGTTGCAATGGAATGAATTAAATCAGACGCTGGAGTTTCAAAGTGGCAGATCAACGATTTCCTCTTTACAAACCAAGTGGATTATTCTCTTATGAAGAATGATGCACAAACACAATTTTCCAGGCAAACTTCCCATCTTTTTAAGACAAACTTCCAGGTAGATGGATGATACTTTTAGACAAGATAATAGGGAATAAAATCTGGAAATATAGACAAAGACTTTTCCAGGCTGTGAATTAAACCCAGACATATGTTCCATTAAGTTGGATAATATGACACATACTTCTTGCTAGATAAAAAAACATTAATAAAAAAAGGTAATGTCATAATTATTGACCCCCCCCCTCCTTGTCTGTTTAGAATAATTCAAACATAAAATGCAAAACAAGCAACTTTTCTAGGAAAAAAACAAAAAAACAAATATCTAATACACCGCCTCTAATCTGTCCTTAAAACTCAGTGTTTTTTACACAACTGAAAAAGATGTCCACTAAAAGACAGTAAGAGGTTAATTATTTACTGTTTGTATGCGGGTGCGATCCAGTAAGGGTTCTCTGATGCCTCCTTGGCATGACGCAGAATGGCTTCTCTTGGATTACTGTCGTCCGTTTTATCCAAAGCGATGTTCTTTACGATAAACGAAGACAGCGTGCCCCCGTGAGCAGCTACTCTACCTCCTCGACCTGTAAGGACACAGAGATGAGTGAAATAAAGATTATTTTATGATGTATGTTCATGGAAGGCAGCTCATAGACATCCTGCTTATGATCGGCCTGGAGAAGCCGACTACTGCAGCTGACATGACTTTGAGCTACTGATTTTGGTTTGGATCCAGATTTCATCTGCTATAATCTCTAGCAATGCACAGACGGTGGTATGACCTAGCATCGTAGATCCGTATGTAGCAGATGTGTTGGTAAGTTATTTTTACCAGTTGTGAAAGTATCAGCATGTAGACAAATCAAGCTGGGAGATCCAGCTGTAGCTACTAAGCTGTTGTTTCTGAGCTTTTCAAACATTACCTTCGCGTTTATGCAAAGTCAGGTCACACACAAGATAAATACTATAATAGAAGTCTGTAATCTAAGCGCCACGAGTCCACCCATCACCAAGTGAGTCTCCTTTTTACCTAGATTTAAATGCTGGATCATTCTCTAAATCTCAGTAATAGGTTTGTTTTATTTAGGAAAAAAAGTGTACAAATGTGTACCTGGCAAAAACCTGAGATAATGAAATGTGGAAACCATGAAATTAGTCTATTTGCTAAAAAAACTTACAGCTCCACTGAAAAAAAGAATGAAAAGGATCAGCAGATGGATCGGGTCTTTAATCCAACTCTGCAAAAACAATCTAGAAGCATGTAAAAAATTGAGATGAAAATGATAAAACTAAGATCATATACCAATGGAATTAATATTTTTATACTCAAATTAAGATAATAATATAAAATGCACATGGAATAAGAAAATGCAATTCTTTTTTCTTATTTTAAATGTAAATTGTCTTGTTCCAATGAGGAACTGTCTCACTTGCCTCCTCAATTCAAGACAAAATGTGCTTATTTTAAGAAAAAAAAATCACCTATAAAAATTTCATTTTGTTGCAGTGGAGGTGAGGTAGTGAAGAAATAGCTGAGACAAAAAGTAAAACTCTCCATTTCTCAGTCCACTTATGATGCTAGCTGCTGTAACTGACTTCCACTATAGTTCGGTGGGCTTGGATCTAAAGTGAGGTGAGGAGATCCTTCACCCAAGGGAACCTTCTAGTACTGCTTCTCATTATTAGAGGGAGTAAATTATGGCAGTTTGAGCATCTAACCAGGAAGCCCCTTGGTAAGCCTTGATATCGAGCCATGTCGTGTCTGGAGGAGCCTCCAGGCCAACCTAGGACTTGCTGGAGGAGTCATGCATGTATTCTGATCTTGGAACGCCGTGGGATATCTTAGAACAACAGGAAAGTATGGCCCTAATGTGGGAAATCAGTTTTTTCTCCTCATCTCCCCAAACTGATTTACATTCATGTCAAAGTCATTTTAAGAGTGGCTTCATTGAATGTCGAATACAGACATCCAACAAATATTTCTTGCTATAAGTGCTTTCTCCTTCAGCTATAAAGTGAACATTGTCACCCCTAAGAAACTACCAACTACAGTTAATGCAAACTGTTAATTTAACCACCTTTCATCCATTAAATGTGTTTACCTCATTTTCTTATTGGATATCTGATATTTAAGCATTTACAGCTTACATTCCTCTGAATAAGCTGCCAGAGTAGAAAAATCAAAAAAATATTTCACAGCTTTGCACCAATGCGCCAGCTGGGTTACAGGGAAATGTTGTCTGCGGTTAATTAGAGCTCAAAACCATTGTTTTCAAAATAAAGATTATTAATATTTTTAATATATTTAAATTTCAACTATATATATATATATATATATATATATATATATATATATATATATATGTTATACATGTATATATGTTATACATGTCATTGATGCTTGTATTGCTTCATCATGTGGTAGCAGTTAAAAAAAAAGGCTTAAATCCAGACATGGTGGGTCTCTACATAGGATAGACTTCACAGTGAGGTTTTAAACCAACTGTAGACTCACACATCCGCAGAAAACAAGTAGATTATCTGTTCAGTTTTAAAGCAGGCGGCTTCATATGCTTGAAAACAGCTGCAAACTGAAGCTGTATCTCACTGCTTGTATTTCTCAGCTCATCATTCTCCTTTTTTTGGTCGTTTTGTCAGTTTTGTTCTATAAAACACCTGAAATCTATAAATATGTTACCAGGTCCGGAAACAGGAGGCTCCGGTTTGTGGGATTTCTTGGGGTCCAGTCTATCTTTCTCCAGCTGTTTCCGTGTACTCCGCTGCCGGGCCTCTCTGAACATGGGCAGAGCATGAGCTGAAAAGAGTAAACAAACAAACAGACATGAGTCAGCACAGTAAATGACTCTTATTCTATGGCTTCCTTCTGCTGAACATTTACACCCCCCATATTCAATATGTCTGGCCGCTGTTCATCTTTACTCTTTGGTGAGAACAGCTATAACTGACACCCAGGAGGTAATGGGGGAATGGGATCAAGTGTGAATGAGTGCACGCAGAGTAGAATCAGACAGACGCTACCTGAGCGTGTGGGCGACAGAGCATCTGTTGTAGAAAGTGTGTATGCTCTGCTCTCATCCTCGGGGGTTACAAGGAGACACTTAAGTGAAGAGGTAGATAAAGTGATTTTCCATTCAGGAGATCTGTCGCCGTTCAGTGGTCATTCTTCTCCTCCATGCTACATTTGGCAAAAAGGTTACTGTTAACAGATTCCCTCGCTTTTCTCAATGGGCCATCACTTGCTTCCTGTCCCGTCTAATTTTCCAGTGCCAAGGCATCAAGTGCGTCACTCACCACTTGGAGCAGCGCAATGCTTGGCTATTTCACACCCTGTTGGCATGACGATGAGCTCACATGATGCGTCTGAAAAGGCTGAAGCAGGCCAATAGGTAAATGTTGTTGTGGGTGGGGGGGATAGATGGGAGCCACGCACAGAGAAGATGACAGCCTCATGTGTTAGCCTCACGATTGCTGGAGGGGGCAGTTTTAGGTGAGTGTGGCGACACCAGAAGATCACGCCAGCAAGGGCAGGAGAGGAGGTCATTCCTCTCGTGATTCCTGCGTGACAGGAAAGTACATGGCGGTCGCGTGGCTATTGGTTCAATAATCCACTCCCAAATCCATCTGCTAGTGGAAAGGGGGAACATCCAGAGCAAGCTGTTGTTCCATCCAAAAACGCCTGCAGCATCGGATGGAGTCTGAATATATATCCTAGTTTGTGATCCAGCAGCAGGCCAGCTTGAGAAGAAACAGGCTCCTCTTGTCAAATCTTTAAAAAAGGTTTGTCAAAGTGTTTACATTTACAGTAGCCCCATCATAGGAGGGCCAGACTGCTCTGCAGAGAGGTTAGGGACTCCGTGAAGCAGAGCTTTAAAAGATGCACAAGAATCTAAGAGAAGCTAGAAAGTTTTTTTTTTTTTTTGCAATGTGTGAAACAACTCCTTTGCATTTTGAATTTGTCCCATACAGACACTGAAGGACTTACGTGTGATGATGTAATCCTGCGTTAGTGTCTCTGCGTGTTTCTCTTTCCGTTTGTTCTTCACTACACACAGCTTGGCCCCTCTGGAAAAAAAAAAAGATTATGAGAAAAACAGCTGAGAGGCGATTTACAACAACACCAATAATAGTTACTTTTTTTAATCAGTTGTTGCAGCAACATCTTATTTCTACCATTAAACAATACAAAGGCATTAAAATTACCTTAACATGTTTCTAAAAAATAAATGAAGCAGAGTTGATTTAGTCAGTTTTGTCTTCTGTTGCATGTCTATATAATTAAATGCGTAATTTTTTTAAAAAGGTAACTACTTATTAATAATTTGCCAAAATCTATCTTTTCCAGGTTTGATTTTCCTACATTTTGATGGCTTTTAATGACAATATAGTCCATTTGAGTAAAATCCCTCTTAGGGTTTTATTTTCAGAAATCATCAAAATGCTGAAGCAGGGAGCCAAAGGGGCATATTAACCTGCTTTTGGTTTCTAGACAAACTAAAATCTATTAATATCTATAATAGCTGTACTGGATGATCCTCTGTTAAAGGAAGATCTTGAATCACACCTTTTTTTTTTTTTTTTTTGTTCTACCTTAATTACCTAAAATCCCTCAAAATTATTATTGCACTCTTTTCATAAACTGAATTAAGTTAGAAAAAAACCTTCTGTTTTATACCCTGAAGAGAAAGGGTTCACACATAAAAGCCCTAAACTGCTCCTTTGTGATATTTTACTGGTGTAACTCAAGAACTAAAACATTCATTTTATAACTTTATATTGATGACAACCTTTATTTTTTTAAGTTAAGCATCATTGCCTCAGTAAGTCCAACTTTGAAACTGGACAAAATATCAAGTCTGTAAACTTCAACTTTTTTCCTGATATCAGTTTAATTTTTTTCCTGACTTGGAACATCATTAAGCTTCTACTGCTTTCAAGTGTTTGGCATCACAAGATCAATGAAGTAGAAAGAAAAATATTGCTAGTAAAAACTGGAATTATTGATTTAAAAGTATAGATTCCTACTTTAACGATGTGTATACATTTCAAATGTGAGTCAGACAACATGATACAATGGCGCACTTGCTGCTGTGCAACAAAATGAAAATGTGGCCACAATATTTTTGTTAAATATTAACATTTTAATAATGTAGTTATTAATAACCTTCTTTTGTCATTGTAATTGTACATTCAAATGAAATGTATCACTCAATGATGACATCACTGTAAAGCCATCCATTGTCAGGACTCATCCTAATGTCCAGTGGTCATTGGGTGAAGGGCAGGTTGTATCCTGCACAGGTCGCCTAGAGCACAGACAGCCATGTAGGCAGATTCTCTCACCTAAAGGACTATAGAGACCAGGTGACCTATTACCCATGTTTTTTTGACAGTAGGAAGAAGCTGGAGTATCCAGAGACACTCAGACATGGGATCAAACCCTCTTGCTTCGAGCAGTATTACCCGCTCCATCATGCTTTACCTTTGAAATATAACTGCCAACTAATCTATTGCATATTTGCTTCTGTGTTAGTGAATACATTTTCTTTGATCATTTGATCATCAGACTGCACTGATTTGCAGATAAAGGACTCAAAAGTCCCTCCAAGCATAGGTTCTTGCCACCGTAAATCTGAGTCTAGGTCTAAGCGATACATACCTGTGACTTTTAACTGGATCGTAGTATACCTTGACCAGGCCGTTCCCAGTACCCGCCATTATTTGATTCAGTTTTGGATGCCACAGGCAGCGAATGACACTCTGGAACAAACACACAAGCAAACAAAACTGTTTGTTTTATTGAAGTTTTTAAGGAGGTTGTATACAAAACCGAAAACCACAGCATGCTATTGGTGATTTGAACTTGAAGGGATCATGTTCCTCCTACTCTGCAAACAGAAGATAACAATCATATTTTATTCCCCAGAGTAGTGAGTGTGTGTAACCCAGGTCAGATGTGTAGGTACAGTGAGCAGAAGTCTCAGTGGGCTTTGCTGCTCTAGTTGACTATATTTGGTTGGTGGGATGAGGGCCGGATCTCTGAGTCTGTGTGTGACAGATGGCCTGGTGCCAATAGGCGAATGCGACCACATTTATCCAGAGATATGTGTGGGCGGGTGTGTGTGTGTGTGTGAGAGACAGAGGCAGAAAATATAAGCACAGCTGTTAGACAAGGATGAAGATCTTCAGCTCATTTCGATATGAGAGCAGCTTCAGAGCAACAAAACTATAGTACTATAGCTACCTATAGTAGCGTCCCAATTTTTCACCCCCTTAATGTCCCGATGCTCTGATGGGGGGGCATCTAGAGCAGTTTTTAGGGGTGGGGGGGTGGGTAAGACCATGCATACAGTGAAAGCTGCTTAACGCCCAGCTGTTCAGCCTCCCACCAGGACACCAGAGGAATGAGCCTCAATCACAGATGCAAAATTAAAAAAATGAAAAAACAAGCAGCAAAGACAGTTCCCCATTTTATTCCCTTTGGTGGTTTCAGTAACCTATAGATGTGTAAATCATCTGTTAAGACGGAATACAGTCATTTAAAAAAGACAGAGGACTTTTTAAAACTCAACGCTCACCTCAAGGATTTAAAATAACTTTCTGTATCTTCCTAATATTTTATTGACATTGAGTCTGTGTTGTGGCTCTTCAGTTTTTTTTTTTTTTGGCTAGATTTCAATGATTTTAGGATCTGGCAAAAAACAGATTATTTATACATCAAAGCCTAATCCCAATACGATAGAATTGTAATCACCTAATGTATACACTAATTGTAAGGCTTGCATTGTAAGGATCATCTGTGATTTTGTTAAAACAATAATAGTTTTAGGAAGAACCTTTGAAAGGAAAGTGCAACATACGTCAGTGGATTGCACTTTCTGTAAACTAGTGGAAAAAGAAGTTAAGGAAAAAAACAAATTAAATTGAAAATAAAAATAAGAAGTTTAAGGTCTTAGGTTGGATTGAAATTAGAGAAAAACCAACATGGTTGGATCATCTGAGGAAGCCTGTCTCATCCACAGAGATCCCATCCCACACAACACAGTTTAAATAGCAAATGGTCTGGCAGTTTAGCTAATCCATTTGTCCTTGAAAAGTCAGAGGTCATTCATGGAGAAAGCCTTTACTCATAGGACGAGTGGTCATAATGTAAGGGTTGATCGCTCTATAACAACCCAGTCAGGTCAGCAGGTCACAGTGTCATTGGGCTCTGCAGCCAGATGAAGGCTAATCTGCTCAATCAAATCAGTAGACACTGACTGAGAGAACCATCCAGAAAAAAAGCCTAACATTCTCAATAATAAACTAGTAGCTGGTAGCTTAAAACAATATTTTACATCATGCGCTTTTTTTCTTCAAAATATGCATACCATTTTGTCATGTTACAAACACACATTTCTATTTATTTCATTGGGTAATATACGCTTCTGTTTTTCATGAATACAATTTATTTTTAGGCCAATTTAGGTGGCAAGTGGAATGCCAATTTAAAAAGGGACAGAGGACCTTGTAGCACGAATCCTACATACCTTTAATATGTATTTTGTAGTCAACAACAACTGTTACATACAACAAATCTGTTACATAAACTTTAGCTACTATCAGAGATTTTAGGTTCAGGTCCTATATTCCAATAGTAGTTGATCAGATCAGATTGGGACGTCCCTAAAATATATGCCTACAATTGACTTTGAAAGGCTTAAAAAGAGCATACTATAGGAACTTTAATGCATAGATGCAGAAAACAGGTAGATTTACAGCAAAGGATCAGAGCAGCAGAAAGGCTGAATATCAATGCAGACACAAGAAAGGTGGACTCTGTTAAAAAAGCTGTGATTTCTGAAGGAGACTGGTTGGACTGGATTGGATTTAGCTGTGTTGAGGTAAAGGTTGTTGATTACTATGCTTTCCTAAATTTTCTTAAAAAACAAAAAGTATAGCATCTCAGTTTCATCAACATGAAAAAAAAGACTGAAGTTTAAGTTATACGACAACATGTGGAAAAGCTTAAGCAGTATACCATATAATTCTTCATACAGATCTGTTGAATTGATGCAGAACGAGAACATGTATCAGCAAGTAAGAAAGCATTATGAGTCACATTATGTGAGGGCTCCACTGAAAATGTGTAATGGGTTATAAATTGGCCTGTCAGGAATGCTACACCGACAGTGGCAGTCGCTCCTATTCCAGAACAAAGCCTGAGATATGGTTACACTCCAACGGTACCATCAAACCATCCAGGTTAACAGCTCCCGCAGTTTAGCCTGTAGTAATCGTAAATCCCAAATATCCAGCCAGGTACCGTAAACTCAGGCCGTTTAGGTTCCCTGAACGGTCTCTCAGACCCAAACAAATCACTCTGTCAACACTAGAACAAGATTCACAGAAACAGGACTGCAACAGCCCAGCTGACTGAGGCCCACGCCACAACTGTGTACATACAAAACACACAGACACACACACACAAAAAAAAAAAGGACGGCTGCCAAATCGGTCCAGTTTAATTGTTGGACTTTTTTTTTTTTCCCCAGAAATTCGGAGAAGCCTGTTTATACTCCAAGAATCCCTGTTTACACATTGTGTCCGCAGAGTTGCATCATGGGAGAAGAAGCTTTAATCAGTCTATTCTCCAGGAGCGAGATGTCTCACCAGAATAAAACACCAAAGGACTGAACAAAGATGAATGAGTTAACAGCCACTTTCACAACATGTATGCTAATTATGAAATAAAACTGGGCAGCAGTAATGAGAGCTGACAGTAAACTGCTATCCTTGTTCAGCACTGGTTGGAGGCCAATCTAAAGCTGCAGCAGAAGGGAAAACCAAATGTTTACCCTTCTAAGCCCCATGCAGTGAGAGCTACTGTCCACAAAGGCAGAAACTGTGCAACTCAAATTCGAAACATCATAGAACGGCCGAGCTGAGCCTTTCTGTCTGCCTTACATGCTTTTTAATGCCTTTGGCGGAGGAAAGGCTCTTCTATAAAAATAAGGAGGTACGGAGTAACTCATCAAAGAAGTAAGAGCTGCACAGCAAACAGGGCTCATCTAATTAAACATACATAAGTGGAGTCAATATTTAACTGTATTTGGAGGATTTGTACAGCTCATAAAGACAAATGTCTATGGGCTGAGCAGGTTTTTGTTATATCTCCATCTAAATGTTGCTTGATGGTTTTTCTGGTTCCTGAAGCTCTTACGACGGAAGAAGCTTAAGCATGTCTGATATATTTACTAAACAGGCCTGGAAGGACAGCCCAGAATCCAGGTCTGGGGTTGTATAGACTGTTTAGTTAAAAATGATTGGTGGTCTGTCCTTTCACTCGCCCGCCTGGTGAGACCCTTTATGACTGCTGCACTTAAATTCCTGGGCCCTGTGAGTGACAGTCGGCCCATGTAAACATGCAGTGAAACAGCGCTAAGATGAGGGCATGAAGGGGAAGATGATCAGAGAGGACCACCTTATATTTCTAATAAAAAGTAATACATTGATGCAGGAATGCAGGTAAGGTGATTAACTGGGTGGTCACCGTATGAAGCACATTTAAAGTTAACCTTAGTGCTCCATTTGGATAGGATACATTTTGCAACCTGCATGCCTGATATATCTGTAAACAATAACAATACAATAATCTTTCTAGGGAAGATTAAAATACTCTAATTATTAATTAATAAACAACAATCTGCAAAGTGGCTGCAAGTTTTATCATGTTGAAAGGGATAGCAAATAATTCAAAGAGGGCACATGCAAGACAGTGCAGAAACCAGGCATATCTCCCCCCTTGTTTGTTCATTGAGGTGGATTTTGTGTGGAGGGTCTGCAGAAGTTGATAACAACACAGATGTTAAACGGAAGGTATAAAATTCCTTTATGAAAAAACTGAGCTAAAGCTTGGGGAATTTCTTACACTACCAGACAGTGGAACAAGCGAAAGGGCAATGGAAAAATCACTTCCAAATGTTTACCCTCCCCTCAGCGGGGTGAAAGGGAAGACAAACGTCCACAGAGTGATGCAAGGGAGCAGAGTTGTGGCGTTCTAAATACACTCTTTGACCCACAGCGTGTGTCCTTTGTCTGGGACTTCCTAGACCAAATGTGGCTGCAAACAGACTCTGTCAAGAACATAAACCAAGAGTAACTGCTTGGTCAAAGGATTTCCATATATGCATGGAATACGGGGTTTGCAGTAAAACAACACAATGTTCTTATTATTTTGGACTGAGACAATTGGGACCACTTAACAAAAACAGAGTTCTTTAACCAAACGCTTTCAGAAGATCAACACCTTCTAAGAACGAACGGGAGCCCCGACTAAGAGACAATGAAAACTCAGGCTTTATTTCGAGTGAAAGTCAAACAAACAATCCTGGAACAAATTATCGCAAGACAGATTAGCTGTCTCAGCAAACGCACTTCTTCTTAGCATCTGTGTTGATGGTTGGAGCTGCTATTTTCAGTAATTTTCGTCATCAGAAGAAATAACAGAGAATGGAGTACAGTCTGTTCAGTCTAGTATCGTCAGAGAACTGTGCTGAAAAAAAAAATGTGGCTCTAACAGTAAAGGCAGATCTTTAAGCCAATGTTAAACTTTGAGTATTTTATTTGTTTTGACAGCCAGAGTGCTAAATAACTGCATCAAATATGTGGCTTTGCATGCATTTGTTTGGCGTGAATAGCATGTTAGGCTTTAAAAACTCCTTGAATTTGTTTATTCAAGTAGTCTGAGTTAAAATAGAAGGCATTACCCCCAGTAAAACCTTTTTGTTTTGACTACAGAAAGATCAGAGGCAGGATGCAACAGAACACATGTTTCTATAGCAGGCAGCAGCTCAGCACTCCAGTTTAACACCTATGGTTGGCTGCCTCCATGAAATACGTTTCTCAGAAAGCAGGATTAGCTCAAAGCACACCATTTGCTACTGTGAATAGAACATACTGATTGTTACCACAGATAATTGAATCGTAGATACCAGTCAGCACGTTTAAGAGCTTCACAACTGTCCTGCCAGCAGTTTGTGGGAGAGAAATAAAGAAGGGATCACATTCCACCGTTTTCTTCAGCTCGCCTCTGGCCATTCTGCAAGATGTTCTGCCTTTTGCTTAAATTTTCCCCAAATGCTTCGAGACTTTTTTTAAATGTGAAAATGGAGTAAAATTAAATTTGCTACTAAAATACAACCAGATTCTGATATATAATTGTATAAGGATAGATATTTTGTTACAGACAAGTAAAAAGAACTGAAAGAAGAAAAAAAAACAAAAAAAAAAACAAACTTTTTTTTATTTTTTTAGGCAGAAGAACTTATGGCTTTAAAATATGTTTAGAAGGAAATAACCATACTACCAAATTATAGTATTTCTATGCTTTAAGCTCTTATTTGTGTGCTTGGAGTGAATTATGTACAACAAATCTATTCCCCTTGCTTATGAAAAAAGAAAAAAATCCAAACGTTTTTAATAGATACATTTTTGAAGCGTGTGTCCAAAAAGGGTTAAACCATCTAAATATAATGTTGGTCTTTGCTCATTTTGTTTAGGTGTTCAGTATCAAAGCTGCAAAGAAATGCTTAGACTACATCTTGTGTTATGTTTCTCAATATTTAAATGCAATGCAACTGCTGAAAACTGCGGTAACTCTGATTACGACTAATGTTGGTTTTTAAATGTCTCCATCAATCTCCTGCATCTCAGCCTCTCAATATACACATCAGATGTACTATCATTATTAATATCATAATTTACTGATATGCCCAACATGAATGCCCAACATTCTTTTTATAATTTCCAAACAAATATTGGATCCATGCAGTCATTTGTGATTTTGGTTTTGCACACACTGAGACTTCTGAGACAAATGTGATTTGAGGTATCATTCTTTTCCTTTTCCAGCTTTTATTGTCATTACACTGTCATAAGTAAAGACAGTAAAGACTTATGATATTGTAACTGTCATAAGTAAAGAGGAACAAAATTAACTCTGCATTTAAGCCATCCCATTGGGGAGCAGCGGGCTGCCATTGTGCGGCAACCGGGGAGCAGTGAGGGGCTTAAGTGTGTTTGCCTTAACCATTAAGCCATCACTCCGCTTCGTTGTAATAATCTTTGCATTTACCAATCACCTGCTGGATAACAGCTTTGGTGCCTTGAACAACGCGAAAAAATTTGATCTAATGTGACAGGGGAGATAATCACAATTAGCCAAATTTGTATTATCCAACTGCTTTTTTGAGGACAAGCCACAGCGTCACCATGTGTCCAACGTTCACATATTATTACAACCTGCAATCACTTTAACCCACACTGCTCCACCTGAACAATACACTGATCATCACCCTTTTGTGAATGAACCGATTCATTTTCAAGCCGCCTTTTTATTCACAGAAGTGTTCTTGGGTAAAATTGTGAGTAAGCGAACTCATTTCAAAAGCAGGCCCACACATGGACTGCAGTGGGAAACTTCCTTGTTGGCAAAACACAGGACTCATGGTAGCACTCAACTTTACTACACAAGTGATTCTCCAGATGTCCCAACAATAGGAAGGATGATTCCTCAGAGAAAGCCCAGTCCCCTGCTGTCTGTCCTCACACTTCCTGCAAATTTCAGTCAAGATTTTCTTTTGAGAGGTGGGTAACAAATACTTTCCTTTTAGGAAGAACATCCATTTAGCATTAGCTCCCATGTTTGTTCTTCTACTAGCGCAATATTTTAAAGTTACTCTTCTGCTTACAAGTCTGTAGCTCAAATGTTTTACCTGTCTTTGAGTCTAGATGTACTCAATTCTGTCTGCTGCCAGCCTAAGAGAACTTTTACCAGAAGCAACACTAACCCCCAATTAGCTTTTCTATACACAAGATTCATATGAAATATTTGGAGCTGCTGTCTTACATGAGAGGGCATTTGAGCTGTTTAGACCATTATGCTGATTTCAGATCAACTTTTTCAGAAGCTTCTCCCGAGCATATAACTATTTAATAAAATATATACAATAAAATACAATTAGATAATTATTTTTGTTCCAGGTTCAAAATTCAATGATAAGAGGTTCAGTAACTTAAAATGCTTTTCAAGCCAATGACACTCTCTGCAACCCATCAATATGCAACTCATGATTCTGCTCTATATAAACTGAAACAATGTGAGAAAAGTTTGAAAAAATCTAACATTTGTGTAACTGCAATATCTTTTGGGTTATGACTGTACAGAGTTAGCCATCATATACCAAGGGTAGCTTTTACACAACAGCAAGCTACAAAGGTTTATAGAGGCTGGTGACAAAGCAACATGACAAGTCGTCTTCTACCAATCACCAACTACAGAAAATCGAAAGATAAATAATAACTTAAATCATAGTAATTGCAAGTTCCTTACAGCTGATTGCAGGTTCTTTACTTGTTAATGTCTTATACTTCTACAGACCTCTTAGATCTTTTTACGCTCAAATACCAAAGACAAATGCTCTGAATATATTTCTGTCAGATATGTGTACAGTGACAACAGTCTATGTACTTTTAGTAAAAACCAGAAACTGGTAATAAAAAGGGAACCACAGAAGGAAAGAAGGTTAAACTGGAGGAAAAGGGGGAAAGGACAGAGAGGAGAGATGAGGAGGGTAGAAGGATACAATGAAGAAAAAAAGATCAAACTCAGGGAATGATGAAAGTAAAGGAAAGTGAAAGTAAAGAAGGGAAACAAAATGGAGGAAGTAAGGACACAAGTAAGGAATAATGGAATGTACAAGGAAGGAAGGAAGGAAGGAAGGAAGGAATTATTTTCATACCCTTTTCATTTTCTCTGTACTTATTCACACCTTGAGTCAAATTTCAGACTTTTTCAGACTCTACAGGAAGCATGTTAGTACTAGTCCAATGAAACATCAGCCCTGACTAATAAAATTATAGCCAAACATAATTACAAGAGATCTTTAAGTTGATTTTCAAAGGTCTTTAAATACTTTCAGTGCCATTCAGACCAGAATAAAACTTGTTAAACTGTGGAGAAAGGGTCATAATATCCCTTAAAGCTAAACCCTGATACTAATCCTGGTGACTTTATTTGAGAACATGTCAATCAAGATTAGCTTATTTCTCTTCTTGCTTAATTTTCTTTGCAACCAGGCAAAGCAGGATAAAAACCTCTGACGCGAGTGACAGTCGCTGCAGAACTTACTGCGTTGGTGACTTCAATTTCATAGACCTTCTGAAAAGAAGCTCTGTCAAAGAAAACCAGCTTTCCATTTCCCTCCTCCTTCTTCACGGAGGTCCCTGTCACAACAAGTCTGTCATCAGGGCTGAAACAGCAATCCGTCCTGGAAGGCAAAATGACACAAAGATATTTATAAATCATAGCAAGAATTAAAAACAAGTAGTCTATAAAAAATTAAAACTGAGATGTCTCACATGGAGAAGTAGTTGGTCAGTCTGTTTGCTTCATTTACAGGCTTCCTAAAGTTACGTATATCCCAGATCTTTAGTGTGTCATCACCTGAAAATAAAAAAAAAAACATCAAAGGAATTAGTTATTATGGGAGTGTCACAGATATATAGTTATTCCTTATTCATATTGCATAATCACATTGAAAGACATACTCCACTTTCCTTGGAGCTCCTTGTTGCTTTTTTATTTTGTTTATGTTTGTATTAGCAACCTCTTAATGAGAATATAAACTAAACATCTAAGTTGTTTAATGTTTATTTAGAGGGTCAATGTTTATTTGTGTACTAAGGAAGGAAAAAGCATTTAATTTGCCTCCAATCCATTGTTTTTACAAATTAGTAATTGCAGATAAAAGCTGGATGTTCTGATTCCAGAGTGTGCAGCTTCAACATGCACCCATGCCAGTCTTTTTCTTACCTCCACGGGAAGCGAGGGTGACGCCATCGTATGAAAAGCAAAGGCTGGAGGTGTCTGATCCTGGAGTGTGGGCTTGCCGACAGTGGAACTTTGTGTGAACCTAAGTTTAAAAAAATATATAAATGTATTTTATTCACATTGTTTATTACTTGTAATAATGGTTTTTGTAATGAGTCAGTAGTAATGGTTCCGACACAGCTCCTTTGTAAATGTGTGTTAAAGAGAAACCATTTTTACAATCTCTTATTATAGGAAACAGCCTGCCCTCTGATTTAATAGTAGATGTTTAGGTCTGTCACTACAGTAACAGAAAACCGTTTCCTCCCTCTGCGTCTTCAAAACAACACATGGTTTTCATCACCGTCATGAACAGCAAACTATACATCCATGAAGCCCACCATAACCTATGAAACACAAGCAGGTTAACACACTGTAGCAACGCCGCAGACATTTACCTTGGCAAACTCCATCCTTCCTGCCTAACAGATGGTATTTGGAGGTTGATTTTTTTGTTTTTTACATGAAATTCAATTATACTGTTTTATAGAGAACAGTTTACTCACCAATAACTCACAACAGACATATTTTGACTGCAAATGCAGCATTGCCTGCAAGACTCTACTGGGGGGTTATGATTTAAAAAGCCCTTTTTTAAACAATTTACAAATGTTTTGTCACAAATGTCAACAAATACATCGGTTATAAATAAACAAAAACAGAATTGTTACGATGCATTGACTAAAATACAGAAATGTATTTGAAAAGATGGGTCTTTAAAGCAGATATAAAACATTGTCAAATTGTCACTGCAAAACGACACTCTTTCACAGTCGTATAACACTCAATTTATCCATACATTGTCTGCTGCCTATCTGAGGCAAGTGATCTAGAAGGGAAACCATCTCGTTCCACTCTCCAGCCCATTTAGGGGGACCCCCCCCAAAAGCCAGGAGTTACACATATTTCCTCCCTATACAATTTCATGCCCAAAACAAGTCAAGAATGAAACAGACAAAAACTGCAAAGGCATAAAAAGATTAGGGACAGAAGACTGCCAACTAAGTTGTAAACCACGCAGGTATTGTTCGCTTCTTCTTAATTTATTTACATATTAGGTACTAATTATTATACATAGAGGGGAATAAAATTCATCACCATACAATAAAACAAAGTTGTTTTTATCTGGACAGCAGGGAAACTGATAGTATCTTCCCTGAAGTTTTTCATATAGGACGAAAGCAGCAGTGGTTAATTATTTAAAAAATAAATAAATAAATAGAAACATCAGCATGACTCATTGGTCAAGAAGCTCCTGAACTGCTTGCATTCAGTCTCCATGTTAACTAACTGTAGCAATAACCCAAAAACAAAAAAACACTGGTAGGATTCACTACTTACATTAAATGGAAGAAAAAGCAGCATCACCAATTAGTTGCCTAGACCAAAGGATGATTAATCCCAAGTTGTTGCTATGGAGATGGCCAATGCATCTCATTACTTGGTCATGTTGCAGGCAGTATATTTACTTCCAGCTATAAGTAAGCAGTTCTTTCACTCAACATAACCACTATTTGGAAAAACTGAATAGCTTCTATTGCCAAGTACAGCAGATACCATGCACCTTTGCTTGGTCAGCTGACTTCCATGCAGCCTCTCCTCCATTACAAGTGATTATTTTGCAAATTGATTAATCTGTCGATTATTATTTTTTTCTTCGATAAATCGATTGATAATCGGATAGCAAAAGGCTCCTTAAAGAAGACTTATTTACTAAATTAAACCAGGTCAAACTAAAACTTTTCCAGTTCTGCATAGAGCTTAATGACAAACAAAATGTGTTTTAAATCTTAAATGTTTACATATTTTCCTTTTTACAATTTTGGTCTAACTGCCGCTAAAGGTGGGTCGCTCTGTGAGCTAAAGACACATTAGAGTCTCTACACTCCATTTAATGATTAATCGATTATTAAATTAGTTGACAATTATTTCAGTAATCGATTGATCATTATTAATCTGATTGTTTCAGCCCTTATTACAAGCGTTCTATAATCTTTAAAATGTTATCAAAGCGTATCCTAATATTATGGATAACAGAAAAATACTTTTCCTGTTGAGAACATCTACATAGACCCTTCTTTAAAATGGATATTTAAACATCAAAAAGAGAAATTAAGCAGAACTTAAGCAGAAAAATGTTATGGCTTCAATTAAAAAGTTTTGTAATACAATTCCACAGCTGGACATTTTAGAAAAGTTATACCAGAGTCATACTTTTGAAAGTAAAGCAGGTTTAGAACAAAATAAAGAGCCGAGACAAGAAGGAAGATTTATTTGTAGATGTTCAAAATTAATTACTTTCAGCAATATTCAATAATATTCAATATTCAATAATATTCAATATTCAATAATCAATAATAATAAAATTCTGATTATTTGCTATCCTCTTTTTTGGGACTATTTAAATACTGGTTAAAGCACTATACTGACATATGAGGAAAAAAAACAAAAACCTCCAATTGAAGAAAAAAAATTGAATCTTTTTGTCTTTTTCACATTAAATTAGCAGCCAAAAGAATACAGTATTTAAAATCTGATTATTTTTACTCTGAGACAGTAGTTCTCAACCCTAGTCCTTAAAGTTGACTGTCCTTTATATTTTAATCCATTTCTGCTCATGGACACCTGATTCAAAGTGTTTCAGTATTTCTTACTTCCTCAAGATTAAAAGTTCACCAGAAGTAGGGGTGTAAATCACACCCATCATGGCGATTCGATTCAGTATCGATTTCCTAACCTAACGATTCGATTATTTTCGATACTTAAGAATACACCACGATACAATTCGATTTGATTAATTGGTTAATTATTTTATTTTTACCTTACCTCAAATTTCAAATTTGAAATAAATCAACGTCCCCACCCCCTCTGCAGACGCTCAGCTGCACCTCTCCCAAATTGTAGCTGACCGCAGACAATGGTCAGGAGGCCGGCTTGTTTTGTTTTTATGACCAAAATTGCGGAAAACAACTTGTGAAGTTTGAGCACTAGAAGAGTGAGGTGCACAAGAACGCCGGGACTCTTTTTCCACCTGGATCTCCGCTCTTTTTGGCGCTCATGTCCCTCCGTCATCGGACTAAACTCGCCCCCACTCACCTCACCGCCTCGGCCGTATCTAGACTCACAGTGTGTAGCACAGACCAAGCTTCAATATTGAGTATAAATCAAAAATGTCTGTGTCAAGCTCACTGCAACAAACTGCTGTAAGAGTATAACCAGGAAGCGAGGTAGGAGGACAAAATAGGTTTAGCGCCACCGCAGCAGGGGGGGGAAGAATTACGTCCAGGGTCAAATGGATAAAAATAGACCGGAGGAAAAAAAAAACGCATGAATCGATACTCTTGCGGACGTATCGATGCATCGGATCGTCGGCTGTTAGATCGATGCATCGATACAAAACGATTTATTATTTGTTTATGGCCCATTTATTTAGCTGCATAAAGCATGTAAGACCCGTGGGTCCTGAGGACCAGGATTGAGAACCATACAGTAGCTCTAAAGACTTCCAGGCACTTCAATGTTTCCAGACAGTCTTCAAAAACTCCTTTAACATCTCAGGTTATCTAATGTACAGCAAGTACAACCAAAGATGCTTTAACTTTAAAATGTATAACAACAAGTGTACACTTTCTTCCCTTCCAGTCCATTAGTGAGTTAACCTGTAACAGAACTGCAGCTGCTTTGGGACTCAGTCACCCCAATATTAACCACCCAGTGTCTTTGGCCTTACCTGGCCTGAGTACAGCCAAATTCCAGTGAAATCGATCATTACTAGACGACGGTGAAGCAATAAGCAAGAAAAGTACGCTTTTCTAATGCTCAGACAAACATAACCTTGGTTTATACGGCTACATTGCCATTAATTCCAAGCGGAACGCAAATAAATCATTGAAAAGGGAATTGCAGCACTGGAGAAGGAATTCGAAGTGAGCACATAGTGTGGAAGGCAGATAAGGCAGAGAAATAGAGAGAACTTTGCAGGAGTGAGCAGAGCTGGAGCTGAGTGAGTGATGTGCCCTCATGATAACAGAAAGAAAGGAGGCCATACTTCACCTCCAAAGTAAGTGAAGGGAAGTTATTAACTTGCTTGAGACAGATAACAGTGTTACCTTGGCCTCTAGATAAGTTGAATTACACTTTTTGAGGCATGGTCTCTCCTGGGCTTAATGGTCATTTTACTCAAAGATTAGTTCTGACTCAATCCTTTTATTCTCTTTTGTCTTTAAATACCTCTTCAGTATCTTTTTCGCTGAACTAAAATTAACTAAGTTGCAAAATAAAAGTCAGAAAGCCAATTTAATTCAGAAACTGCTATTTCTAATCTAACATGGGCCAACTTTATAAGTAGAAGCTAAGGTGAAATGTTAATAAGTGTGGCCACGGTGGCACACATCCAATACTAATACTTAGTGTATTTCAGCCACGCTGTGCAAATTCACTATAGGAAAAGGGGCCGTATCTCTGTAAGCCACAGATGTGCTGATTGTAGAAGTTGCTAACACTTGCGGTATTGTAGCAATGAAGCAGATTTAGGTTGCCATCTATGGCTTGTAGTGAGAGAAAGAATCACAGGCTGGAATAACACCAAAAAAATACTCTGTGATGAGATAGTGATGAGATCTGCTTTTGAGGACACCAGAAACAACTGTTTGTTTTTCCATCATTTCTTTCTCTAGATAAAACCTGCTCCAACTCAACTCAACTCCTTAGTAAAACCACAGTTTTCACATGTCCGCTAAAAAAGGAAAGTTTGGAGCTCTTGTTTGGCTAAGGATGAATCATCCCAAATTTTCCCCTTATTTGTAATATAAACATATCAAGTGTCTGTGCATGCTTTGTTTGTTTTGAAGTTGTTTAAAAATGAGAGCTTTATCTTCTTCTAGCAGCACACTGCAGAAACAAGGATACAGAGCTTTGAAAAAGTATTCACACCCGTATAATGTTTTTATAATAAAATATAATTTAGAATATTTTTAGACCAGATCTACAAACGTCAACATATTAGAATTTGATAAATAGTGGTGATAATATCATAGTGTGGCA